TGAGCTCTATGAGCAGTCAGATTCCATGTCCATGTGCTTCTCCAAACCAGCTCCAGGTTAACTTTCTCTGAGCCTGGTAAAGTTTTATTTTAATACCTCTTTTGCTTTGAGTCTAAGAGTTCTCTCATGGTTTCATAGCTCATGATGTGTGACAGGAGAGCCAGGATCTCTCCTCTGAGTAACACAGACTATACAAACAGGAGTAAATGCAGTGGTGTCAGCAGTGCCTGCACCGTGTCTAACCACAGTGTTTATCAGGTTTGCTATCTGCTGATCAGCGTTGGTTGTGTTAACATCCCTCCGAGGGATTCAGCGCTGGGGAGCACTAAATCAACAGCCTCATTCCTGTTTATCACCACTGTTGACTTTCACAGGATTCCTCCAGTCACACCAGCTCTCAGCACTGCTCTGCAGGAGCCTGGTTAGCTACAGGCTAAAGCAGCAGACTCCAACTCCGTGTCTTGCTGAACTCCTGGCTGTCATTTTGCTTTTCACTGCTGGATTATTAAAACTGGTGACTAATATTAGTGCTCTGGGACCCACTGCTGGGCCCATCTTCAGCCATAAAAAGGAATGCTTAAAAGAACTGTTTAGTTGTGGAATGGTCATTTCAGTTGGAGATTGAAAGAGCTGTAGACAATCCCAGTAGCAGTGTCCTTCCCAGCAAAAGGCTCTTTTTTCTCATGCTTGTTGCTTTTGGCGGAGTTCCTCCCTCCCAGCTCCAAAGCTGATGCTTTTGTTGTCAAAATTTGTTGTGTCCTCGAGGCTAGAGAGCACCTAAGGAAAACCCAGGATATCTCAGACCCAGTGCTGTATCTCAGCTATCTCCTGGCACACAAATCAGCTCCTTTGCACAGCTGTCAGTGTGTTGGATTTCGGTGACAGCTGTTTATAAACTGAGATTTAGCAAACTGGAACAAGTTTACTCAAAACTCCTACAGGTCGTGAAGTTTTGCAGTGTTTTAATAATTCCAGAGTTGCCAGGAAAAGATCAGTGTAGGACATTGATCCCAATGCTGTCAGTCCTGCTCCCAGGATTTGGGATAGAGTGGGCTTCAGGCCTAGGCTGTGCATGGAATCATTCTTGGGGTAACACAAGCATTCTTTGTTGTGCAACTGGAGGTCGGAGTGACTTTGCCCTAATTTCTCCACAGACTTTGGCTTTGGGAACTTCTACAAGAGTGGAGAACCACTGACAACGTGGTGTGGGAGCCCTCCCTACGCAGCCCCCGAGGTCTTCGAGGGCCAACAGTACGAGGGACCCCAGCTGGATATCTGGGTACCAGTGCTCTCTTTTCACTGCATTCCAGGCAACCTGTAGGAAGCTGCAACAAAGGAGTCATCTCTGATTTGTCTTAAGCAGCAAACAAGCTGTTCCTCCTTGGGGTTTAGCTCCTGAGTGTCATAAAATGCTTTGTCACGCTGAAGGAATTGACATTGCCTGTCCAGGGGCTGTTATATGTGCACTGCAGGTGGATCTAGACAACTAGAGGAAAAACAGCTCCTCCAAAAGTTTCCTGGCTGAACGAGTGAACTCTGCTTTTTGCAGTGCAGTTAGTGTTTTCTCTGTTAAGTGGGAATTGAACTTGGGAGTTTTTGATGAGATGAAAGGGATCGTGAGGCACTGAGGAACAGGAGAAGTGACTTTGCTTTGCTCTCGGAGCTGGGAATGAGCATGTGTGTGCACATTCCTGC